AAAAACAAAAATTGGCATGAAAAGAATAGATACTTACAAAGCTTGTACTCAAGAGAGAAGAACGAACTTTAAAGACTAAAACAAAACGGTTAGTTGCAGTATAACGAGACTTTGACGAAAATATTTATAAAAATAAAACAATTTGCAGCAACATTCTATGATACACAGAACAGTAATGTTGGTATCCTCTTTTATGTCAAGGATGCATACATCACAGATTCTCTTTGGAGAAAAGGAGTCACTGACAGGATAATTATTAAATATTTAACGGAAATCAGCTTAAAAAGTTTGTTCTAATCAAAAGTTGTTTCATTCTTTATTGTTCATTTCAAAATGCATCGAAAATTTTCAAGAATTTAGACATCGAACAAACTTTTTTAGAACAAACTTTTTAACAACAAAAAAAAATTTTTGCAACAAGGAATAAAAAAGGAATAGAATTTGAAAACTAAACAAACTCTAATAATGTTCTAAAAAAAGAACAAGTAAACATACAAATCAATGGCTTTGTTCCAGTTGATAGCGTAGTTGGATAAGGTAAATGTTGCTATATTAACAAAATATACATTGCCACGTTCGGTTCCCAAATACAGCCATTTACTTTGAAAAGAATGACTGATACAAGTAACTTGCTCCTTCGTTAATTGTATACTGTGTAACACTACTGGTACCTGAACAAGCTACTGATAATGCATTATCAAATCCGAAAAATAAAAAGTGTATTTTCCTAATTAAATTCAAAATTGTTGCAGTTTTTCAAACATAAAACAAAAATTCGCTAAAAGTTTTCCGATTCACACTTTAATTACAAAATTTCTTATTAATGCTTCAAAACATCTTTGCAAAGTAAAATTATCAATATTTCTTGAAATTGAAAAGTGTTCCACTCACCTTTTGTCGAAAGTTCCACAAATGTATCAGATCATCACGGCATGCAGAAATTAGTGCTCCCTGAAAACAATCTTTTCTTTTCGACTTTTTCTTTTTGCTACTACTTTAATTTCCAAATTTCCATTTCCTATTATTTATTTCGATTACATTTTCATATATGCTTGTTTACATTCTCACTCTATACCTTAATTTTTTTTTATTAAAATGAGCAAAAAATTACAGTTGTGATTTTTTTTTATTTATTATAATTTCGCATATAATATTGAGTATTTAATAAACTTTGAGTACAGAAAAACAAGTGTAAATGCAAGGAAAAGATACTCTGAATTCACTCTGATTAATTAAAAATACTAAAAATAAAAAGAATGTTATATTCCTCTTTTATACTTTTTTTTTTCAAACAGCCTTTTCCAGTTACAGTAGTCACTTCATAATAAAAAGCAGCTGTTTTATGTTTTATTAAAATCTCAAGACGATCAGCAAAGAAATAATTTATCCACATCTGTGATTTTTACAACAACATGAAATAAGCGATATGGTTTTACATCGCAAATTATATCAATTTAGTGAAACAAGTTTAGACCTTGCTAATGACATATTTTTTTATCTCTCCCATTAATCTATAAAAAACACTTGAAAGTTTTAAGGGCCAATCGTAAGACTTGACAAGACAGAATCACAATCCAGAAAAATTATTATCCAGAAGATCAGCAGAGGAAAAGCTCTCAAACAGATTGTTTAAATTTGATAAATCTTTTAGTAGTTCCATATTTTTATTATTAAAAATTTAATACGAAAAAAGAACAAACTTCATTCATCAAGAATTGCATATGAAGTACAGCAGCATCTGATTCGTGCTTCAGACAATAATCCACTCCAACATCTCCAATGACTCTAATTATTCCATTTCCCGTGCCTATAGCTAACAAACGTTGTACGGTATCATAAGCCATACATCGCGGATCGTCTGGAAATCCATGCCTTACGATCTGAAAATGTCCCAAAGAAACTACTTCAAATTATTTATGGATAAATTTAATCAAATATCTTGGAAATTTGATACCGCAAAAGCTTACAATTTTTGTTCACAATATCTCAATCACTAATTTTCGTTTCCCTTTTTTTTTCCTTTTACGCATCAATATATGTTCCACACACACTTTTAAAAATTTAATCTTATAACAATGAACGCTAGAAGAAAAGAACTATCATGTAAACAAAAATTCTTTTAACTTTTGATTTTTTCAATTAGACTTTGAAAATTTATTGGATTATTTACGATAACTGTACAACATCTGGATGTCTCCAAAATTTTAGTTTAAAATCTGATACTTCTTAAAACTTGGTACTAATAGAAATGTCAAAATCATTTCAAAACATTATATTCAGAAATTTGCGTAAATATATAACTGCGTGAATTGCTATCATTTGTTTTAAAAAAAATAATGAATTTTGAGACTAATTTTCATTAACATTTAAATATACTTGATATAGATTCTAGTAGAGTAAAGGACAAAATGCTTATATTATGCTTATATTGTACGAATTGAAGTCATCAATTCATAATGAGTAGTTAAATAAATCATACTATTTTCTTTTCTCTCTCTCTCTCGCTCTCTCTCTCTCTTTCTTCCTCTTTTTCGCCTCTCTCTTCCTCTTCCCATCAATAATATACAAAGAACTGAATAAATATAGCTCTTTCCTTTTGCAGGAAAGAGCGGTATTTATTTTGAACATCATTAAAATTCTCAGCAATTACTGCTTTGCTTTTCCATTTCCATTTCCAATTTATACCAATAATCACTTACTTCTGTTAAGCAAACATCTTCAGCAGTTATCTTTTCTTCCAATTCCATTTCTGATTTATGCTGATTCCTAAAACCATCCAGCGCTGATGCTAAACGTTTCTTCGCTCGATCCATCTCTTTCTTCACCTTTTATCTTCTTTCGCTTCCTTTTTTTCTTTCCTCCGTGTCTTAATGCTGTTGTTTGCTATTCCTATTAAGTTGTTTATTGTCACAGCAAAGTTTGATCAAACAACAATAATTCGAAGCAGAATATAAAAGATAATATTAGAATTCCTTCCAGCTGTTGATGTTGCTGTTTCATTTGGTACTATTGTCTAATGATTTCAAATTTTCTAAACAAATATGAAAGCAATTAATGACCATGGAATTTCTTCATCTTAACCAATTCCTGAAAAAAGAAATTGAAATTGAACAAAGCAATATGAAATAAATAAATACACACGTGCTGCTACAAAAAAATAAGCAATTTAAGGGTTTGAATGATAAAATAAATGGTTTGAATATAATCGCGCTACACTTTGATGTCTTCTACATCTCGAAAACAATTTATTTTTTCTCCCATTAATCATACATCAAAGTTTAGCAATTTGTAGCATGCCCAACGGAATACTATATATGATATTTGTATAATTATTGCTATTTATTAATGTTTATTTATAGCTTACTTACTAATTAATTTTTTTTTTTGTTAACAGCAAGAAAGTAAACTCCAATAAATTAATTTGAACTCATATCTTATCCATTGATTATTTAATAGTTTTTTCTTTTAAAAAACGTAAATTAAAATATGACAGAATGAATGTACTGAAAAAAATAAACAAATAGACTTATAATCCTTAATTTCTCATTTCGTTTTCTGCCCATTACTCGAATTCATCACTCTTCCCTTTTCCTTTTTTTTTCTCTAAAAAAAAGCTTAAAAAAATTTAAACAATAATTTTGGACAAATAAAAAACGACCAATAAAAATGTTGGCCCGTGGCCCAAACCTATTACCATTTTGAAAAAAAAAAACAAACGAAAAAACATGAAATTTAAAAACCGATTGGGAAAATGGAAAAGTTCGACATCTGCACAATACGTGGGTGTGTGCATGTTCGTGAGTGTGTTTATAAGTATGCGTATGTGTGCGTGCATATAAATATGCATATGTTGCATGTGCATGGGTGTATATATATATATATACACGTGTATGCGTGTGTGTGTGTGTGTGTGTGTGTGTGTGT